TGAGTCTGCAAGCAATTGATCGTGGTCTCTGTGCCATCAAACCTCACTGCTCACACTCATCTGTATTTGCAGCCACTCCCCCAGCACTAGCATCACTGTCTCAGCTCCCCATCAGATCTGCAGGCTTTAGATTCTCATAAGGACATGCAGCCTAGGTTCCTCACATGCACAGTTCACCATGGGGTTCACATTCCTACAAGAATCTAATGCTGCTGCTGATCTGAAAAGAGGCGGAGCTCAGGTGGTAATGTGAGTAATGGGGAGCAGCTGCAAGTACAGTTGCAGCTTCGCTCTGAAGCTTCGCTTGCTTGCCTGCCGCTCACCAGCTGTGTGGCCTGGTTTCTAAACAGGCCATGGACTGGTACCAGTCTAGGGCCTGGGGGTTGGGGACCCCTGCCCTAGAAAGATGCTGGATGAATATCGTATGCATTCATGTGAGGAAACCACATGATGACAGTGTTATCAACCATCAAGAACCAACAGGCAAGCCCAACAATTCCTGGGACTCACAGGGCTGGAAATAGTTCATATAGTCACCAGCCAGAGAGAGCAGACATCTTAACAGAGGACATCTGGCAGGATCCACTTAGTAGGGAGACAAAATTAGTCTTATACAAAAAGGCTGCCCTCGTCCCACTCTACAAAGTTCAAAAGCAAACCTTGAAAAGATCAAATTGATTTTAAGTTACTGAGCTGCATGGCAAAGAAAAAGCCCAAGACTCTTTAAAAGAATACAATAAAGTCCAGTATCCAACAAAGTAAAATTTTACAATGTCCAACACGCAATAAGAAATATCAGGCATACAGAAACACAGGAAAATATGATTCACCACAAAGACAAATATCAATCAACAGAAAAGACCCAGAAGGAAAATACATGTTATTAGCAGACAAACACTTTAAAACAGCTATTGCAAATACGGTGCATACATTCATGAAGGTAGAGGAAAACATAAACATAATGGGAAAAATTAAGAATATAAAAAGACCCAAATGGAACCTCTAGAGATAAAAATACAATATCTGGAATAAAAAAAACACATGACATGGGATGAACAGAAGACAGATGCTGAAGAGAAAAAATCAGTGAGCAATGGGAACTGTCCAAAATGAAGTACACTGAGGAATACAAATTAAGAGTATCAGTGATCAAACTAAGAGTATCGGTGATCTGTGGGACAATATCAAGTGTTTCAACATGCATGTCTTTGCAATAAATAAAGGAGAGGGAGACAGACCAAAAAAAAGAACCCATTTGAAGAAATAGAGCCCCCAAATTTTAAAGTCTGATGAAAACCTTAGAGTCACAGATCCAAGAATCTTAACTAACCTAAAGAAGCATGAGGAAAGCCACATCAAGGCACATCATAACCAAATTACTGAAAACTAGTGATAAAGAGAAAACCTTAAAAGCAGTTGGGGGAAAAAACACGTGTACAGAAGAGCAGGCTAAGAATGACAGTAGATGTGTCATCAGGAACTATCAAGCTAGGAGACATTAGAGTGACCTCCTTAAAGTACTGAAAAATGAAAGAAAACAATCTGGAATTCCATCCTGAGCAAAAATATCTTTAAAAATTGAAGGCAAAATAAGAACTTTTCCAGACAAACAAAAGCTGAAGGAATTACTAGCAAACCTATAAGAAATATTACAGGGGCCAGGCTCAATGGCTCAGCCTGTAATCCCAGCACTTTGGGAGGCTGAGGTGAGTGGATTGCCTGAGCCTGTGGGTTCGAGACCAGCCCGGGCAACTTGGTGAGACCGTGTCTCTACAATAAAATAAAAAATAGCCAGGCATGGTAGCATGCATCTGTAGTTCTGGCTACTCGGAAGGCTGAGGCGGAAGGATCACCAGAGCAGAGTAGATCAACGCTGGGGTGGCCGTAAGTGTGCGTGCCACTACACTCCAGCCTGGGTGAAGGATGAGACTCCAACTCAAAAAAAAAAAAAAAAAAAAAAAAAAAAAGAAAAGAAATATTACAGGAAAATCTTCAGGCAGAAGGAAAATGAAACTAGATGGAAATTTGGAGGCAGGCGTGGTGGTTCACACCTGTAATCCCAGCACATTGGGAGGCTGAGGCAGGAGAATCATTTGAGGTCAGAAGTTCAAGACCAGACTGGGTTCCATAGCAAGACCCTGACTCCATAATAAAATTAAAAACAAAAAGGAAATTTGGATCTAGACTAGGGAGTGACAAGGGTTAGAAATGATAACTGTGTCATTAATAAAATGCATTTTTTTGTCACTTAAAAAACTCTTTAAAATTAATTGGCTGCTCAAAGCTAAAATCCTAACAATGTATTTTTGAGTTTACAATATATGGGGAATAAAATATAAGACAACAATAGCACAATGTATGGGAGGGGAAAATGGAAGTAAAATGTTATCAGGTTCTTATACTCTATATGTAGTGATACAATACTATTTGAAAGTAGACTGTGATAAGTGAACTCTAGAATAAACATCAGAGGGGTAGGGGAGATCATATTGGAGATAAAATAAAATCATAAAAAATACGCAATTTTTGGCATGGGCTCAGGAGTTCGAGACCAGCCTGGATACCTTGGTGAAACTTCGTCTCTAAAATAAAGAAAAAAGTTAGCCAGGTGTGGTGGTTCACGCCTATGGTTCCAGCTACTTGTAAGGCTGAGGTGGAAGGATCATCTGAGCTCAGCTGGTCAAGGCTGGGTGACAGAGTGAGACTCTGACTCTAAAGAAAGCAGGAAAAGAGGGAAAATAGGAACAAAGGACATATGGGACAAATAAGAAACAAATGGCAAGATGGTAGATTTAAACCCAACCCTATCGATAACATTAAATATAAACGGCCTAACAATAATTGAGTGCTTTATGACTCAGTTCAACAAATATAAATGTATTTTATGCAGGAAGGAAACAATGAAGGCTTTACCATCCATAATGGAAATAATAGAAATCTAGTAAGAGGTGAAATGCTCCCCCCAGGAGACCCAACAAGAGCGCTTCTCAGTCTCTTTAGGCTCCTTGAGTGAAATAAAGAGCCAAGTGGAGGCACGACTGCCTGGTCAGGAGCCTGGCTGACCATCAGGAGACTGGGGGTGAGGACTGGGGAGGTATTGCTCTCCAAAAGGAGGAAGAGTATGCTTGGCATCCAGGTCATGTCAAGGGTCTCTGAGCATGCACATGCTGTTTTGATGGCGCGTGGATAAATGACGGTGGCAAAGAGGCACTGGCGTCAGGATGTTCTGTTTAATTGCTAATGAGACTGTACCACAGCATTGTTGTGCATGTGCACATGATTCTCCATGGACAAGAAGCAGGGAGGATCTTTCCAGTTATCAAATCCTGTGGCCTCTCCCTTTTTTCTTCCACAATCTCTTTTCTTTTCCTGCTTCCCCCAAGGAGCCTAAAGTCAGAGACCATGGCTCTGGGTGTCACAAACCATCTCCTTTTCTTAGATCCCTTTTTCGGTTTCCTGGCCCCTTACTCATAGCAGTTAAATCAGAACATCTGGGAGAGGGGACACAGGGGTCCCAGGACATCAGTACTTATCACTCCACAGGTGATTATTGTATGCTTCCAGGATGAACAACACTGACTTAGGGAACTAAAATTACTCACTTATGTCAGAAGAAATATGCTTTGGGGAAATATTCATTACCTGGACCATTTTCAGCAGCTGGAATAAGAAGTAATTAGCCAAAGAAAAGAAAAAGGAAAAAAATCACACAAAACACCAAGAAGTGTTTTGAAAAAGTGCTTTGAGAATTTACTGTACAGTTTTTTAAAACAATTTATTTATATGTGGCTTCTACATGCTTTTACATTTGTGTAAAACATTTATACATATTCTTTACAATTTGTACATATATTAAATGGCTGTATCATAAACACTGTTCTATGGGATTTTATAAAAGAAAAATCAAGTGGGGGAAATTACTTATAAAACATTAACAGAACCCGTGATACTGAAGAACAAGATGTTCTCATATTCATATTCATGTTCATTTGATTTCCTCTACTTATTTTTTGGTTTCATTTTACTGATGCTGGCCCAGACTTTCCACTTTCTGTCATATAATTATCAGGTCAGAAGAATGAGAGCAGGAGATATGTAGTAAGGCAACTGTGGAGACGGAGCCCATCCCGGGAGGGAGGCAGTGTCTGAGTGCTCAGGGTACAAGCTGACAGTCTGTCGCAGTCCTGCCTTGCTCTATGCCTTGAGCTGATGTGCTCCAGGGAGTCCTGTCTGGAGTCTGGGATGCAACCAGGAAGAGCACCTGCACTTTCTTTTCAACGCAAGTGCCAGGAGTTCTGCTCCGTGTTCCAGCCACTACCTCCCTCGGCCCCTACCCTGTCCACTGGTAGGGGGCAGGGGACTGCACTGTGCCTCTCCTGTCTGGTGACACCAGCTGGCCCGTGAGCCTGCAATGCATACCATGCAGCGCCTGCCAGCACCTGCATGCCCCCTTGCAGCTAGTGACAGCTAGAGAATGAAAGGGGCAGAGGGGTCAGAGGCTGCAGAAGGGGCTGTGCATGCTCCTTCGATTAGGTGTCAGTACAACCACTCACCCAGGAGCAAGGCTGGAGAGTGTGGATAAAGTATTCTTCCTGGCACAAAACCTGCCTTAATGGTTAGACAGGAAGTGCAGAGAGAAAGCCCTGGTCCTTCCGGGAGAGCCACAGGGCAAAGACGATGCTGAAAGCAGGGTGGGCAGGTGACTCCTCTTGTCTGCACGCTGCTCCCCTTGAAGGGACAGGTGATGCCCACCCAGCACGCACCATGAGGGCCCCTCTGCTTCCTCCCTCCTGAAACGTGAGCACTGGAGTCGTAACTGAGTGAGGGGTGTGCAGACTTCCTCCAGACAGGAACCCCAGAGGGCTGAAAAGAGCTATAAAAATATACAAACATATATATTTTTTATTCTGGCATATTTCATATTTTTAAGAAAGCAATTAGTAATTAATTATCTGACATTGGGTAAGAACTGGAAGATTGTGGGTGACTTATAAATTACAATTCTATGTAAAATATCTGTGGGGAGAAACCCCTAATTTTCCTCTCAAAATTCTGATAACTTTACTTTCCAAAAATAGAGACAATTTCCACTGGTTTAAATAAAGAATGTGGAGATGAATGAAAGACCCTCCCCCTCAAAGAGTGATGCATTCAGGCTGGCTAATAAAATAAATGCAGTTTCTTGCGATGCTATTTCTTTTTTGGTTTTCTTTCTTTCCTTTTTCCTTTTTGACGAAAGGGATAAAAATAAATTTTGAATTGCATTGCCCCAAGTCAGAAAGAAGCACTTCGGAGTTTTCTTCACGGTCCGCTCTGTTCTACATAACCGGAAAGCGGCTGAGGGCCTGCCTCAGCTTTTCTGCAATCTGCCAAAAAACAAAAACAGTTGTGAGATCTCATGCTCACAGCATCCTGTCGCCTACAACTCTAATGAGCAAAACACCACACAGACCTCAAGTTCTTGAACTCTGCCTTCGTGCTAGTGCTGAAGAGACCCTCTCACACCACAGATCAAGTTGCCAGCTGGCCCCAGGCCTGGCATTCCCACAGCCATGAGGTGTCCACGTGTGGCACAGCACTTCCAGACAATCTGTTTTTCCTCAAGTGAGGCTGGAGGCTCAGAGGCCTGGTGCTCACCTACAGTCCCTTCCCTCCTTGCATAGGGTGAGCTCCCAGTCCCTTGCATGCCACATCTCCCGGTCACAATCTGCTCTGTGTCACTGCACGGTGTGCAGATGGCATGTGCCTTAAATGAGGTGCTGTACTTTGTCTGTGTATCTTGGTCTCCCCCAAGGAGGCCACCCACTCCTGAAGGCACAGATGCCTTATTCATCCTGGGACCCAAGCATCGGGAGTAAGTGCTCAGTATATAACAGATACCCAATAAAGGTTTGCTCCATGAACAAATATGCACATTTCAATAATTTAAGCATTATTCTGCCATAAAATACTGTTAGATCTGAAACCTGGCACTGTTATGCCAGCCCCTTATGCTTATGCAAAGACAGGGATGGAGGGCATGGCTTTCTGTGACAAGCTAATGACGACCACATCAAGCCCATCAGAATTTTCAGAGCTTTCCTTGAACTGTTTTCTCACAATGACGACTGTAATCCGCTCTGTCCTACTACAGCAGGAAGGGCAAACACACAGCGGCACTGACCGGTGGAAAGTTCCCTGAAGGAACACAGACGTGTCCCACAGGGGGAAGGCAGCTCCGAGGAACCCCTCCAGGCCAAGTTCCCACCTGTTCGTCAGGTACGTCACACACACTCCCCTTCGAGAACCTGCTGTTGGAGATGTGGGGTTGGCAATGCCCAGCCCACAGGTGCCTCGTGTGTGGCTGGGCGTGGAGGGTGGGCCCCTGAATGTACAGGGGATGCCACAGCTAGGGAAGTGCAGCCAGCAGAGGGTCCATGCAACGTTCAGATCTCACTGTCAGATGCCTGACGTTTACACGCTTTAAGACCTTTGTTTTCTATATACTCTGATAAATAACAAAATTACTATGCAGAGGTATGAACATTTAAGTTTCATATTGTTCTCTGAATGAAAATATTTCAGGTTTTGCTCTTTCTTGTTTTCTGTTGTGATTCCTTTGGTACACTGTGAAAACCTCCCTCACACAAAACAAAGGCTGCTTGTGGTTTCCTGCACGGTGCCTGGTGCCAGGCTCCTGCCCCAGGGACAGCAGGGTGACCTCATCACATTCAGCACTGTTCCCAATGCAGAGGCACAGAAAGGCAGCGATGAAGGCGAGAAGCACACAGCGAGGACTTCTCAGGGCCTCACAACTAGCATCTAATGTCCTCCTTCAAAAGGGAAGCTTTTTAATGCAGCACTATTCAAAAGGCAAAAGGCAGATGGAATTAAGGGAGACTGAAAGCAAACCCTGCTCAAATGGAACCTCCTCTGGTTTCTTACTTGGGATTAAAGAATACAAACAGATTAACTTTACTTGGTCAAAGTCATTTACCAGGATTCCTCTCACCCCCACGGATGCCTCCTATACCGCCTTTTTCCTAACACTCCAGGCCTGGAAAGTCAGCAGCTGGCACAGACTCTCCCACCAACTCACCGTTTCATAAAACTGCACTTGCTGCTCCAGGTACAGGCGGATGACGCTGTTGTAGTCATAGATCCGGTTACTGTGAAAGTGGTTCATCTCAGCTGCAACCAAAACCAAGACACCAGTCAGTTTTCCCCCTGAGTTTTCAAATGACAACAGCTGCTTCCTTTGCCTGGTTCTGATTAATCATCAATGGGACCTAATCTGGCTGGCGCCAGTTCTTGGCAATTTACCTTATTAAGAAGCTAGAAAAACAAGTCGAACAGCTAATGGCAAACCCTCCTTTCTAGTAAGTGGATGGTTTTCATGGATTTGTACATTAAATACTACAAAACCCAGACAGAGAAATACTCAAATGTGGACTATTACCCTCACAGAACTGATCAACAGGAAACAGACCTGGTCGTGTGCTCTACAGATGACTGTGGCTCAAAACTTCAGGTGTACCTCCATCGGCCCTGGCAAGGCACCTGCTTTGGCAGGTTTCCCGTGAAGGGCTGGCAGGCGCACAGCACACAGAGGGAGGCCCTTCTTCTGTAGAGGAGCTTTGCTGCCCAAGCACCAGTGAGGGTCCTCAGCACTCGACCTCTCACCAGCTGGAGGGTCCAAGCTCAGGGAAGACCTTCCGGACCTTGGCTGAATACAATTCCTTCCTCTCTCTGTCCCCTGCTCCGCCCAGCCCTGGGGGAACCATCCTCCTCATCACCCCCACTGATGCCTACTATACCGCCTTCTTCCTAACACTCCAGGCCTGGAAAGTCAGCGGCTGGCATTCATACCCACGACAAGTGAACTGCTTCACATCTTAGAACACCGTCTTAAGTTATCTGAAGCTGTAGTTTCTTGTTTCTTTTTTTTTTTTTGAGTTGGAGTCTGAGCCTTTTGCCCAGGCTGGAGTACTATGGCACACTCATGGCCACCACAGCCTCAACCTGCTGGGCTCAGGTGATCCTTCCGCCTCAGCCTTTCACATGGCTGGAACTACAGGCGTTTGCTACCATGCCTGGCTAATTTTTTTTCATTTTTTTATTGTAGAGATGAGGTCTCGCCAAGTTGCCCGAGCCGGTCTTGAACCCGCAGGCTCAGGCAATCCACTCGTCTCGGCCTCCCAAAGTGCTGGGATTACAGGCTGAGCCATTGAGCCTAGCTCAGAGTTTCTTATTTGGATAACCTCAAACACAAGTTCAAAACCAAGTCCCACTTCAAACCCTTTAAAACCCAACTCTTTCATCAGGTTTCTACATTTGGCCACCAGGTGCCTGAGCTCTGACTCACGTACCCATCCTTCTCTTTCTCCCCTGAAGTCCCTGGTCCTGAAAACTGTCCCCTAGAAAAGCCCACAAACAGCTCCATGCTCTTCATGCCAACACATCTCTTTCAAATCCTCAGAATCTCAGCCCACAAAAGCGACAGATGGGCTCTGGGACAAATGTCTGCCCCTCCAGTCTGTCCTCTGCAACTAACAAACCCTTCTCCTTTGAGGACTGCTTTTTTCCTCCTCCCTCAAAACTTTTTAACGGCTTCTTAGTGCCCACATCAAGTCTAGACTCTTCTGCCTGGCTTGCAAGGTCCTCCACAATAATCAACATTTCTTTCCCACTATGTGTCACTCTTCCCAGCCACTGATGCCATCCTGCACCATGACCCTGTGTGCCTCTGTTCTTCCTAGAACACCTCCCCTTTCCCTCTTCCCAGGCACGTGCCCACCACCCACCAGCCAACGCGGGAAAAACCCATTTGCTGCTACCATCTGTTAAAAAACACACAGCTCTATAAAAATTATTATTTTTTAAACCAACAGTAAAACTATGTCTCAAACAACACATCCAAACCCCTTTACATCCCCTAGTCCTGGGCAAGGAGGTTACAAACAACTAAAAGCTAAACTTCAGAATGTAATAAAACATGACATAAGGGGTTGTAAAAGTAATTTTCAAGGTCTCTCAGAAATCATAAAAAGTACAGGTTTAGTCAAGTTATAATTCATAGCTATGTCAGGTAAAAATAAGAAAAATTAAATAAATATTACAGACTTCCATAAATACTGGGATCCCGCAAACAAGGGCCTTCTGAGGGCATTTAAGACCAGCTCTTGCTCTTATTTGTGTACTGGCATTCTCACTTGGATTTCTCTCCAGCAAGAGAAAGAGCAGCCCCACCAGGAGCATCCCCAGTAGCCCTGCACCCGCCTACTGTACCTTGCAAAGCGTAAGACATGGTGCTAACTCGCTTCACCATGTTCTGCTTCTCTTGTGGCGTGATTTTGCTGGTTGCAACTAGTTTATCACTTTCTTTCACTTTTTCTATTGCTCCCTGAGAAATATAAAATGCGACAAGATTAATAAAACAGCTAAAAGGATGAGCCATTAGTTTAGAATATAACGGTACTAGCCTACTCCACAACTGACTAGCTACTAAACAGGGAGACAGCCCCCACAAGAATGAAAGAAAACATGTAGATGTCACTTCCTTCAAGTCCCTTGGAAACAAAATGGTTGCTATTCTTGAAAAATGTACTTAAGCTAAATGGACGACTTAGTGCCACAATATAAAAGCAATGCCTCCTTGACACCTAGGTGCCACTGCCATCCGAAGAGCAGCACGTGGGAGGAAACAGGCGTCAGCAAGCTCAGAATGTCCCTTGACTGGGAACAGGACAGCACGTGCTCATGGGCTCTCCATCTCCTCTTTTATGAAACACATTGTATGAGCTGAGGCTGAAGTGTGCCAACTGCAAGGCTCCGGCTTTCCTTCAGTTTTTGAAAGAGGCACCGAGTACACTTGAACACTCAGATGGTAGGCGCTCAAAAAGTTGCCAAATGTTTCTCAGCTGCAGATGTCTAAGACCAGGTTACCTTGTGAGTGCCGATGATGTCAGGGAAGCAGCCAAGAAATCCTTTGTATTCATGGTTACATTCCATCAGGAAGTGGAGATCTTTCTTTGGCTTTAACAAGATACAAGTTGGTTGTTACTGGCAGAGGAAATCATGGAAAAGAAAACTATTATATCTGAAGACTATACATTCTCCATGTACTACACTAAATGATTGAGTGCTAAGCATTCAGACTAGTTTTCCTAAAAGAAAATAATTCCTAAGATTACCATATTCTGAGAATTATATGTTGTAAAGAAAATGAAAAACATCATGTAATTTTTAAGTTGGTATATAACATTAGCTATTTTGAGATGACCCAATATATAATACCATAAAGGAAAAAAAATTAGTTAATACTGTATGTTTACAGGCAAGCAAGTAAGCTGTTATAGTTTAATGTCTGTATTTTAGCACAGAATATAAAACTACTAGTAAAACACCTGCCTAGACAGTGTGAGCTGCCAGTTCCCTGCAGGCCATATCTCCTGGTCACATCCCTGCTCTGTCACTGCATTTTGTCTATGTGTCTTGGCTTCCTGAAGGCACACGTCTTATTCATCCTGGGACCCAAGCACCTGGAGTAAGTGCTTAGTATATACTAGATACTAGATAAATGCTCCATGAACAAATATGCACATTTTAGTAACTTAAGGGTTACTCTGCCATAATACCTCGTGATCATTTTAAGTGACAACTTTAAATTTTTCCATTTTCTCTGAATTATAATTTTCTTTTTTTTTTTGAATTGGAGTCTCACTCTGTCACCCAGACTGGAGTGCAGTGGCAGCCTCGACCTGCTGGGCTCCAGCGATCTGTCCACCTCAGCCTTCTGAGTAGCCGGAATTACAGGCATGCGCTACCACACCAGGCTCATTTTGATTTATTGTAGAGATGAGGTCTCGCCAAGTTGCCCAGGTGGGTCTCGAACCCACGGGCTCAGGCAATCCACTCACCTCAGCCTCCCAAAGGCGCGGGATTATAGGCTGAGCCACCAAGCCCGGCTCTATAATTTTTAATAGCTTCGTTATTCACATTTCTAAAAATTAATATTTTTTAGAAGCAGCAGTAGTTAACGACATCAGTGTGTGTACACATGTGAGTGCATCCATATGTACATATGGACATATATATACATATTAAGATGGAACAGCAGGAGGTTTTATATATACATATAGATATATGAATATATAAAAGCTTATTTATTTATTTTTTGAGTTGGAGTCTCACTCTGTCACCCAGACTGGAGTGCAGTGGCCGCTCCCGGCCACCGCAGCCTCGCCTGCTGGGCTCTGCGATCCTTCTGCCTCAGCCTTCCAAGTAGCCAGAATTACAGGCATGCGCTACCATGCCCGGCTGATTTTTTTGATTTATTGTAGAGATGAGGTCTTGCTGCCCAGGCGGGTCATGAACCCTCGGGTTCAGGCAATCTACTCACCTCAGCCTCCCAAAGGCGCGGGATTATAGGCTGAGCCACCAAGCCCGGCTCTATAATTTTTAATAGCTTCGTTATTCACATTTCTAAAAATTAATATTTTTTAGAAGCAGCAGTAGTTAACGACATCAGTGTGTGTACACATGTGAGTGCATCCATATGTACATATGGACATATATATACATATTAAGATGGAACAGCAGGAGGTTTTATATATACATATAGATATATGAATATATAAAAGCTTATTTATTTATTTTTTGAGTTGGAGTCTCACTCTGTCACCCAGACTGGAGTGCAGTGGCCGCTCCCGGCCACCGCAGCCTCGCCTGCTGGGCTCTGCGATCCTTCTGCCTCAGCCTTCCAAGTAGCCAGAATTACAGGCATGCGCTACCATGCCCGGCTGATTTTTTTGATTTATTGTAGAGATGAGGTCTTGCTGCCCAGGCGGGTCATGAACCCTCGGGTTCAGGCAATCTACTCACCTCAGCCTCCCAAAGGCGCGGGATTATAGGCTGAGCCACCAAGCCCGGCTCTATAATTTTTAATAGCTTCGTTATTCACATTTCTAAAAATTAATATTTTTTAGAAGCAGCAGTAGTTAACGACATCAGTGTGTGTACACATGTGAGTGCATCCATATGTACATATGGACATATATATACATATTAAGATGGAACAGCAGGAGGTTTTATATATACATATAGATATATGAATATATAAAAGCTTATTTATTTATTTTTTGAGTTGGAGTCTCACTCTGTCACCCAGACTGGAGTGCAGTGGCCGCTCCCGGCCACCGCAGCCTCGCCTGCTGGGCTCTGCGATCCTTCTGCCTCAGCCTTCCAAGTAGCCAGAATTACAGGCATGCGCTACCATGCCCGGCTGATTTTTTTGATTTATTGTAGAGATGAGGTCTTGCTGCCCAGGCGGGTCATGAACCCTCGGGTTCAGGCAATCTACTCACCTCAGCCTCCCAAAGGCGCGGGATTACAGGCTGAGCCACCGAGCCCGGCTCTTTTTTTTTTATTTTTAAAGACAAGGTCTCACTCTGTTGCGCAGGCTAGAGTGCAGTGGCACAATCATAGCTCACTGCAGCCTCAAACTCCTAAGCTAAAATGATCCTGCTGCCTCAGTGTCCCAAGCAGCTCAAACTATGGGTGCACCATCATACCCAGCTCATTTTTTAATTTTTTGTAGAAACAGGGTCTTACTAGTATTGCCCAGGCTGGTTTTGAGCTCCTGGCTTCAAGTGATCCTCCCACCTCAGCCTCCCAAAGTGCTGGGATTATAGCTATGAGCCATTGTGCCTGGCCCATAAACATATATATTTTTTAAAGTCAGCTAAAAAAAAATGCATTTTTCTTAAATATAGGGATTTGAAATAACTTTGATTTCTCTTCAGGGAACTTATTACCTGTGTCCAAAAAGAAAAAAAAAGAAAAAACAACCCTGTAATTGGGTTACTAAGGACCCTAATAAAAGCTTTGTAGGACTGTAGCAGGCACTTCTTATGTGTTAGCATTAAATACTGAGGCCCATACAAGGTAGGCACAACTGCTGCAGTTTAACAGATGAGGAGCCCAAGGCTTCAAGGGGCTGGGCAACAGTCTAAACACCTCAAAGCCAGCATTCCTTCCTGTACATCAGCACCCCTGATGGCTAAGAACGGACCACAGCATCAGGATTGATGATAGATTTATCCATCTACCCACTTGGGCTTAACCCAAGAGGCACTATTATCAAATACTATTAGCACAGAGCCACGGAGGCAGGGAAGAGGGTCTCTGTTTGGAAAGTCTGCCTGAAACTGGGTTGTAAATGAAACATGTGGACTAGATAGCACAAACCCTCCCAAGGACTGGTGTGGTTCTCAGTACCTGCCCTGCCACGAGACTGGCGATTTCTTCATAAGTCTTTCCTGCTTCAGTTATTGCATCATTGAGATCTGTTTCACCTGAAAATGATGAGTTTTATCCGTGGTTATACTTTCCTTCATCTTATTAAATATTGTATTATAGATTTTGTTGGTAAATTTTGTTACAGAAAATTTCAAACATGTTCAAAACTCACGAGAACAGCATCACCCACTCCCCACCTTCCCACCTGGAGGCTCCTGGCAAAGCCTTTGTTCACCTGCAGTCTCTACCCCACAACCCTGCCTCCCCTTTGCTGGACATACAGCATCTCATTCATCCATTTTACCTGTAAGATATGGGCTCTTAAAAATAAGGGAAGCATAACTACCACATCTAAGACCAGACCATCACACACTGTGTAAATGAGACCTCAGAGCAAGATGGCCACTTAATGAGATGCAAAGCGGGTCTATGTGACCTGGCCCAGGTGCTTCTCACACCTGCAGATACTCCCTCCTCATACCCTCTGCTTCTGCAAGTCTCCTTTTGTAGGGTTTGAAGAACCAAGTCATCGTCCATGATCTCTACATTCTGGATTTTGCTGATTCCTTCTTTCTGTGATATTTAACACATTCCTCTGTCCCTGTGTTTCTTTACACTTGTTGTTGGTCTGGGTGCTTGAGGAGACTCAGAAGACACAAATTCCAGTTATTTCTATTCTTAAAATGTTGGAAGCCACAAATGACCGTTATCTAGCCCTTTTATTTTAACCTAGACTTGCACAATCGTGCTACTCTGCTCCTGCCATTCCATCTTAATTAGCTGGAATACTTCTTTTTTTTTTTTGAGTTGGAGTCTCACTCTGTCGCCCAGACTGGAGTGCAGTGGCCGCTCTCAGCCACTGCAGCCTTGACCTGCCGGGCTCCGGCGATCCTTCCGCCTCAGTCTTCCAAGTTGCTGGAACTACAGGCATGCGCTACCACGCCTGGCTATTTTTTTTAATTATTATTTATTGTAGAGATGAGGTCTCACCAAGTTGCCCAGGCAGGTCTTGAACCCACGGGCTCAGGCAATCCACTCACCTCAGCCTCCCAAGGCACGGGATTACAGGCTGAGCCACCGAGCCCAGCTGGAATACTTCTATAGACAGAGGTTTTACTGTATCAGCTTTCTGGTCACCTTGAGGTATGTTCTGAATAGGAAAGGCAGGTCAAATGCTTGATTCTTTCTCTTGACAGTTTTCAGAATAATGCATTGATCTCTCACCATCCTCCAAAGGGAACTGCAATTCATCTTTTTAAAAGCATCTTTACAATTCTAGATTTAAACATATTTGATATGCTTCATTCCATGTCAATTATTATTTTCACTAATGCTCCAGGTTTCCTTTCTTTGGCCAGTGGGAGGCTCTTCTAGTCGGTGTCTGTGTCCTTCTGAGATAAGTCCTAGTTCACCTTGGTGAGAGGTGGCATTTAGACTCTATTCATGAGGGATGCCGGGGTTGCTGCCTGCTACTGAGCTGGATGAGTCTAGGCTTTTTCAGTTAACAAAGCAAGACAAATTGTACAAAGAGGGAAAACACATAATGAGCTCATACTGACGTTTCCAATTCAAATTTAGGACTTCAGGGGTGTTCTTATTTTAAAACTTTTTTATTTTAAAAATCATAATTGCTAACTACAGTGACATAATTACATACTGCTTTACTCTATAATGTGTCAAACAGTAAAACAGTTCTAAAAGTTCTAGAATAACAATGCCAATATTACATTGCTAATGATATGATTAGTGAAAATGACTAAACTTTCTTGCAGTCATTCTGCCCTTGAGGAATCTGCTGCATGGGATGTACCAAGCTCTGAGATCATTCTTGTCTGTGGGTTTCTGCCTTCATCTTGCTGTACCAAGTCATTTGCTTCATCTTGCTTTTGATAATCAGGAATTTTTTCAATTTTGATTTACATTTATTTTCTAATAATTATGTAAAATATCTACAAGGTTCCGAAGTCAAATCTATAAACAAGACAAACTCAGAAGTCTTTCTTCCATGTCTGTTTCTCTCTTCCCCCATACATAACTGTTTAAACATTTCTATCGACTGTATTTCCATGATAGTCCATAAGAATCTGGCCTGCTTCATGGATCTGTGCAGGGGCCTGGCTGACAGTCTCTGTACTACTTCACTGTCAGCACATGCACTGGGATATTTACTATGATCAGAGATGTCTTTAGAAATTTAACTCATTTACACTCCTGCAAGGTTGCACAGGACAGCACTACTCCAAGACACAGCACTGCTGTGACGAGACACAGCACGCAACACTACTGACCTTCACTGTCCTTTGAGATGGGAGAAGCTGGTCAAAAGGAACTTGAACGGGTCTTTTTTTTTCTGAGTTGGAGTCTCACTCTGTCACCCAGGCTGGAGTGCAGTGGCACACTCATGGTCACTGCAGCCTCGACTTACTCGGTTCAGGTGATCCTTCTGCCTCAGCTTTCCAAGTAGCTGTAACCACAGGTGTGCACCACCATGCCTGGCTAAGTTTTTTGATTTATAGTAGAGACGAAGTCTCGCCAAGTTGCCCAGGTTGGTCTCAAATCCCTGAACTCAGGGCAATTCTCTCGCCTCCACCCCCCAAGTGCTGGGATTATAGATGTAAGCAGCCACCGCACCTGGCCTTGAACAGGTCTTTAAAATAGTATCTTTAATAAGATGAATGACATTCAACATAAGACATATATTAAACTAAGTACTTTTAATATTTTAAAAAGTGCTATTTGCAATGTGAGTATTTGACAATGCTTTGAGTTATAATTATAGTACAGAAAATATTAAGGACTCGCTAGATTAGGCAGCTCCCAGGGGAGGACACCATAGTGACCCCCACTGAGCAGGGCATGCTCCTGCCACCCACCTCCATCTGGAATGCCCTCCATTTGGGATGCTGCTGCTGCTGCTGTGGCAACCTGGTCCTGATGGTGCCCTCATCCTCTCCTAGTCCTCCTTTCTCCATATCCTTTCTTCTATGTTGCTTCAGGCTAAATTACACAGACTATAAAACTGCAGAGAGTCTCATCACTCTGAAGCCATATGGATTCTACTATATTTTAAGAGCTTTAGAAACCAGTTTCCAGATTACCAACTGCCTTCCCCTCCCCCCACCTTTTCAAGACTTCTGGTTCGGTGACCTCTATTCATAGCATATTTATTGAATAATGAGTGACAAGTTTGTCTCTTCCAGCACTGCTCAGGAGAACAAATAAATTGGTGTTTTAGACTTCTATAATTTAGTGCTATAGCTCTTTTAAATTTTGTCTAGGAGGTTTTTATATTTTGAAAGCCCTCCATAAAAAAACACCCCTATGGTTTAGTTCTGCACGGTTTCTAAGTTTTCTGTTTGACTTCAAATGACTAGAGAGCCCCGGTCTGGGTACATGTATCATAACTTACCAATAAACTCTGAAATTACTAGAAGGATAATTGTCAGACTTCCATTTCCAGTTACGATGTGGACGACTGCTGAGCTGTCGTCCTGCCTGAGCCTTCCACACGTGGGGAACTTTGCTGGGACAGGAGGCCCCGCCAGGCTCTGAGGGAGGCATGTGGGTTGGCACAAGGGACAGGAACCTGGAGGAGCCCCAAGTGCAGAGCTGGGTCTCCAAGAGGGACTTTTGTGGCCTAGAGGAAACACTGGGAAGCCTGGGGCCAAGCTGAGGATCAGGGAGAGCTCTCAGGTGAGGTTTAAGGCAGGCAGGCTGCAGGTCAGTTAGGACATATAAGGGTGCCACTGAGACTGACACATGCTCTCACCCTGACAGGACACCACAGAGCTACAAAGACGAAAAGGCTCCCTGACACCTGCCTATTCTCTAAGCAATGGGTGGGTTCTTGTCCCAGCTCTTCCAACCACTTGTTGCCTTGGCCAAGATGCTTCTTCCTAGGCCTCAGATTCATCGTCTTGACTAACTAAACCTCAAAGCCCCCTTCTGGTCTCAAGTGTCAGTTATAAGTCACAGCTAAGCCAAGCCAAGGAGAAACACTCCCATGTGGGGCCCTAAGTCTTATATTCTGGTGAGAAACTAATTTCTTGTCCCTTAAAATGTCCAGAAACGGACATCTAAAGCACTATCTCCCCTGGGTATCAAGATAAACACCCTGGTAAAAACATCAATTGTATCTTTTCTGTAAGTGATAGGAGACATCAGATATATAACAGGTACCACCTAGATGATGAACACCCTTTCCTTTTAATAAAGGAAGAGAGCCAACTTGCACCCACAAGCGTTGCCAACGGAAACCATGAACTCCATATTCCATGGGTAAGATACATGTTTATAGGACAAGCTGACACAATTATGCCTTATGGAGAGACTCAGGCAACATGCATTCATCACTCAGTCCAACGTTCTTCCTTCAAATGGCCTTGATAAAATCAGACCTTTATAGCAAGAAGAACTAAGAGAGTACAGAGGGAATGAGATGAAAGGTCCAGTGTTACCCACCACAGCTGCCTGTTACACTGAGACAAAAGAGCTAAGAAAGGCAAACAAGCTAGCAAGAAAATACAGATTATAACCAGTTCCCACTTTTCTCAAAAGTCCTGAGTGTGGCAGGCAGTCATGTATCAATGACAAGTGTGCTTCACTGTAGAGTTATAATCTGTCTGCAAGACCCCAAGAGGTGAACAGGTGACAGTTTGGATAAAACATTGAAGGCACAATGAGCAAAGGGAGACATACCTTGATAACCACTAGAACTGAATACTGTGGCTAAACTCTGCAGGGCCTTTCCTATCTTCTGATATTCCTTGGGTAATGCTGAAAGGGAGAAAGGAATGGATTGTTACAAGTCTTCTAAGCAAACAGAAATGGGGCTCAACCATTTTCTAAAAAGATTACTCTTTAATAAAAGACACTTGAAGTGACTGAAAAGAGTCTATATTCTTCAATAAAATACTGATGCAAAAATATTGATTGTTTTCAATTAAGGTTTTATTCAATCAATTGTTTTTAATGGATTGTCCAATTAATGGCAGATGCTATCATTAATAACCACCCCTATATTCTCATTCACTGGATGAAATGTAAATGAGACAGAAGCTCCTTTAGATGATTTCCAGTTTACAAAGTCCTTTCACATATGCTACCAATGGGATCATCACCATAATCCCCTCTACCAAAGGCAGAAGCACCACCTTCATAATGAGGATAGGAAAATAAGGCTCAGGAAACTTGACTTGCCCAAGGTCACAAGGCTAACAGATGGTGGACTGGGCACCTGTGATTCTGGATATGCTGCCCATTCTTTATGAATGTACAAATGATTGTTTGCAAATCAATAACCAACCAAACAAAAGCTGAAAGCAACAAGGTGTGGAGAAAAATACAAGGCAGACTTTCTTCGTATTTGTATGTCGTTCCCTTAAAGGCGTCTGTTGCCTTTCAAAAGAAACCATTATTTGCATTTAAAGACTTCTTGCAGTATTAAGGGAGAAAAAAAATTTAAAAATTAATGTTTCTTAAAAAATAACTAGGCCAGAAAAATCTGGAGTAAGGTCTGTGAGCTGCAGTTATCAGGAAACACGAATTCAAACTATGTTAACTCAATTAACTGTAATACATTTCTTATGCTTCTGTGCCTCAGTTTCTGCCTTTGTACCTGTGGTTAAAGACACTTGGCATGTGCTTCTCCACTTGGGTAGGTGTTGGAGTTTTCATTTTACAGATTAGGCATTTAATAAAACTATTTTTTGAGAGAAGAGAAGAAAGAAGATATGCCTGAATCAAAGCCTAAACAAAGTGCTTCCATTTGGTCTATGGATTATATGGGACATGAAGTTGATCAGACACTAGACATAAGGGACTTAATTCCTTTTTTATTATCTTTTGTGTCGGGGTCTCATGCTGTCACCCAAGCTGGAGTACAGTGACACTATCATGGTTCACTGCAGTCTCAAATTCCTGGGCTCAGGTGATCCTCCTGCCTCAGACTCCTGAGTAGCTGGGACTACAGGCACATACCACCACACTGGCTAATTTTTTTATTTTTCGTAGAGACAAGGTCTCGCTATGTTGCCCAGGCTGGTCTCAAACTCCGAACTCAAGCAATCCTTCTGCCTTGGTCTCCAAAAGTGCTGGAATTATAGGCATGAGCCACTGTGCTGGCCTGATAAGATTTGCATTCACTTAGAAAAAACATCATTCAAGGAACATATAGATTTATTATTTTTTATTTTTTATATTGTTTGAGTTGGAGTCTTACTCTGTCACCCAGACTGGAGTGCAGTGGCCGCTCCTGGCCACTGCAGCCTCGACCTGCTGGGCTCCGGCGATCCTTCCGCCTCAGCCTTCCAAGTAGCTGGAACTATAGGCACGCGCTACCATGCCTGGCTCATTTTTTGATTTATTGTAGAGATGAGGTCTCGCCAAATTGCCCAGGTGGGTCTCGGACCCACGGGCTCAGGCAATCCACTCACCTCAGCCTCCCAAAGGCGCAGGATTACAGGCTGAGCCACTGAGCCTGGCTGGAACATATAGATTTAAATGATTTGTTATGATAGGCTTGTAAGAGTTTATAGTCCAAATTAATTAATTACCTTTAAGATAGAATTCCTTCCTTTATACTTCAGAGAACAGTGTCACTCTGCCTTCTGTTCATGAGTCATTCTCTGTGATCAAAGGCTCGACATGAATTTTGTTTTCTAGATTTGTATACATTATTTTTTGATGTTGTTGTTTTGTTTTGTTTTTTGAGTGGAAGTCTCACTCTGTCGCCCAGACTGGAGTGCAGTGGCTGCTCCCGGCCACCGCTGCCTCGACCTGCTGGGCTCTGGCAATCCTTCCGCCTCAGCCTTTCGAGTAGCCGGAATTACAGGCACACGCTACCATGCCTGGCTGATTTTTGATTTATTGTAGAGATGAGGTCTCGCCAAATTGCTGAGGTGGGTCTCAAACCCGCAGGCTCAGGCAATCCACTCACCTCAGCCTCCCAAAGGCGCGGGATTACAGGCTGAGCCACCGAGCCTGGCTTACATGAATTATTTCTTCAGGCTTAATTCTATATTCAAGGTACAGCATATTTATTTGAGATAGGAAAGAAACACCTGTTATCACTCCCGGTGTATGTCCCTCAAGCATGAACAGTTGATACACCACAAGTTGCTTTGCTGATGTAAGATAATATGAGAATGGCAGAGAACCACTGATATTGGTATTGGTTAGGGCCATGGTAGAGGTGAGGCAGGGCCTGGTAAATGTTCTCTGCAAAGGGCCAGAGGTAAATATTTTAAATTTTGTGGAGCTACAAGTTTCTAGTGAAACTACTCAACTGTGTCATTGTAACATAAAAGTTGCTAAAGACAATACACAAATACACAGGTATGGCTATGTTCTAATGAAACTTTATTTACAAAAATAAGTGGCAGCCGGGCTCGGTGGCTCAGCCTGTAATCCTGCGCCTTTGGGAGGCTGAGGTGAGTGGATTGCCTGAGCCCGAAGGTTTGAGACCAGCCTGGGCAACTTGGCAAGACCTCATCTCTACAGTAAATCAAAAAAACTAGCCAGGCGTGGTAGCGCGCGCCTGTAGTTCCAACTACTTGGAAGGCTGAGGCTGAAGGATCACCGGAGCCCAGCAGGTCGAGGCTGCAGTGGCTGGGAGTGGCCACTGCACTCCAGTCTGGCCAACAGAGTGAGACTCCAACTCAAAAATAAAAAAGAAATAATAAGTAGCATGCTGGATTTGGAGTGTGGGTTAAATAGTTTGTTGATTCCTGATGTAAGGCTTAGATTTACAGGTCTGGATTTATCAGATCTTAATATTGCTTTTTTTTTTTGCTGTGCTATGCCTTTGTATTAACTCATCTAAAAGTCACTCCACAGTTAGTTTCCTGTTCATTGAAATTATTCTTGGCTTTCAAATTCTGATTCCTTTCCCTTATAAAGGGGAAAAATATTAACAAAAACAGATAATTAAGCTCTTTCCTATGCTGAGTATTGAAGGATTGATATAAAAGTGAGTATATATATTATGCTTATAATTCAAGGTAGAAGACATTTTAATTTAAATATATAACTGAATGCAACCAATGTTCTTGTGGTACGTTATGAGCAGAAGGCCAGGAAATTCCTAGTGGTGGACTAGTAGTACACCTTTCTCCAGAGACCAAGACAAGCAGTGCATAGCTAGCACCCAGTGTTCTCTTTGTGTGGTAAGAGCAGGATATAAAGGGGAGAAAAACCCCAAGATTCTATAGCAGTGATAGACTTAGGCCTTGGCAAGCCCCACATCGCTGCGGCTGATAAGTCGTGCAGCAATCTGAGCCTTAGGGCTAATGGGTGCATCCTGTGGCATTATCCGCATAAAGGGATAGTCGACTCTGTTACTCTGTCCTAGACTATCTGACAGAAGAGCTGCACTGTTCTGGGGTAAGCAGGAAAAAGTGGCTCAGCAGGAAGACAGTCTACAAAGGAAAGAAGGGAGGCAGGATGTTCTCAGGGACATGGAGAGTCGTCAGAGAGCCATGACCAACAGTGCCATGCCATCCTTCCCAGTACTCCTGGTCTGCCTGGCCCGACACCTTTTCAACTACCAACTGGATGGCTTTTGTCTAAAAATTATGGCTTTAGTCAAATATACAACATCTTACCAAATGAAGGTTAAAAAGTAAAATCATGAGACCAAAGATACCTACAAGGGCTCCCTAAACATGCAAAAACGATTACCTAAAGATGATAAAACCCAAAATGACTAGAAAGAATTAAGCGAATAGGGTGCTTTTTTATGAGATTTATTGAACTGCTTTGTTAGAGTCAATTTTCTACAGTTTAATGAGGGCGCAGTGAGGTTAAGCAGAGTGATGGGAGCGACCTGATGCAGCCCACCAAACCCATTTCTGTTTGAGCTAGCCGTTTCCTCACCATAAAAAAGGTCACACCTCAAAGGCCAGCCCGGCCGCAAGGAGTGGACTTACGCCCCGTGCAGCGCTTCCAGTGCTCCTGGCCCACGGTCAACAGCTCCTTCACACCATCATCCATGGCCTTGGTAAACTTCCCAACTGCATCACACTTCTGCTCTCTGCAGACAAAGACATCATCAGTCACACAGGCGGAGAAAAACCAGTGTTGTCAGAGACTCAGGCCAAACAACCACAGTCACTGGCTTTCCTGCACTACAACTACCCTTTCATTAGAGTCTTATAAATAGGCCTGCTTCAGCTCTTTAAATGACTGCTTGAAAATCTACCATTTATAATCTAACTTTGTTTCCTTTACCCTTCAATTCTTTGAGAATTTTAACTAAAATTATTCATCATTTCTTGAATATCTTATGCAGTGAAATTCCAGTCATTGGAGGTACTGTTATATTTGGAAAACGGTAATATGGGTTACTAATGGTGGTTGTTTATTCAGTCTAACAAGTACTTTAATGAAATACAGACAATATTCTGAATACACAATCACCTAAGTGATACTGACAATATTAGTTCTTTAAGGATGTCACATGTGTATTTACCAACTTGAAGAGATTGTCACAATGTATTGTCAAATTAAAAAGACAATGTATAGTGTGAGGCCATTTTTGCTCAAACGAACACTTTTTCCTGTAATTACATTTGTACTGAGGAAGGTTTGGAAAACTATATACCAACATATTAACACTGATTTTTCTCTCTGGGTAGGTCATGGATTGTGTATATGTGTGTGTGTGTTTCTGATCTATGTTTTTGGTAACAAATAAGCAGTGATTTTATGGTAATAAAAAAGTTTCTTAAAATTAAAAAAAAAAAAGATTTCTTTTTAGTCCTTATATAGAGAAGAAACTACTCCAAAGTTCCAACTGAGTCTGTACTTAAAAAAATTAAATGATTAAAAACCATAGATTAAAAAACGTACAGAAACAGTAGTCTGGAGATTGTTTCCTTCAAGGCAACATTTAAAGAGGTTTTGCCATGCTGGACATGGTTTCATCACACCTTGGAGGAAATAATGACTGAACTCCATGTCAACTATGAAGTCACTGACTGCTGGTTAAAGGAAGGAAACTCTAACCGCATGTCATGGTTAGAAAGTGCTTCTGTGTACGAATGGTGTCTCCCTCATCCTGTGACTACAAACCCCACTTATTTCGTAAACTCTTGCCTGACAATTTGTTTCAATCATGGCTGTGCTGGTCAAGACCCATAAGCCAAAGAGGCAGACACAGGTTGGCAGAAAGTGAAGTGTGTGGGTGTCTTACATTTCTACTAAGTCCAAGTCAGGCGCCTCTGGCTCCATGGTGGAAAATATCATGACTCCCGCCAGCTCATCCTTCTCTGCCTTCCTCTTCCCAGTTTTCCACTCCTGTGAGGAGAACATTACGAGGTTAGAGTAGAGAACGGAGTCCAGCTGGCCTTCCAAATGCTCTGCGAGAACCAGCCCACGGGTCACCTTCACCTCCCTCGTCTTCAAGGAGAAGTTCTCACACCATCTCCCTCTGCATTGTGGGGTCAAACCCCTCCTCCACACCTCAAATGTGGTCTCAGGGCACAGACAGTGTCCCTCCACAGGACGGTCCTTGAGACCTGGTCTTTTGAGAGTGAACTGATTCAGCCACATTCCTTTTCCAATGGCCACCAACATGGACACAGGGAATAGAAACACACCCTATGCATTTTGACAAAGTACCTCAAATGTTTGGGTTAAGTGTTTTCTAAAAAAAAAAAAGATAAATGCTTTTCTAAAATATAAGATAGGTACCAATATTATGAGCTATTTTAAAAAAGAATATATTAAGATACACACAGAAAAGTACCCAGAGCAAAATGTACAGCGCAATGAGTTCTCATAGAGTATGTGGGTAAACACCACCTAGGCCAAGAAAGACAGCCAGCATGCCAGAGTCTCTCATGTCCTTCCCAGTCACTGCTACTCTGTCCCGCCCCTAGAAAGGTGATTTATGATCTCTCTCTTTTTTTTTTTGAGTTGGAGTCTCACTCTGTCGCACAGACTGGAGTGCAGTGGCTGCTCCCAGCCACCGCAGCCTCAACCTGCTGGGCTCCGGCGATCCTTCCGCCTCAGCCTTCCGAGTAGCTGGAATTACAGGCATGCGCTACCACGCCCGGCTAATTTTTTTATTTATTGTAGAGATGAGGTCTCGCCTGCCTAGGCGGGTCTCGAACCTGCGGGCTTAGGCAATCCACTCACCTCAGCCTCCCAAAGGCGCAGGCTTACAGGCTGAGCCACTGATCCCGGCTTTATGATCTCTTTTATGGCTTTAATTTCCTTGTTTTCTGCTATGGTTCGAACATATCCTCACCAAAGCTCATGTGTTGACAATGAATGGCCAACATGATGATATTAAGAGGCAGGGCCTAATCACCTGACAGGCGATTTAGTCACAGGGCTCCTCCCCTTGTGAATGGAATGAGTGTCCTTATAAAAGGGCTCAATGAAGGCAGTTTGTCCCTTTCTGCCCTCCACTATGCGAGGATATAGCATTTCTACCTTCTGGAAGATGCAGCCCTCACCAAAGGCTGGTGCCTTGAATCTTGGGATTCTAGGCTCCATAAAACTGGAAGAAATACATTCCTGTTCTTTATAAATTACCCAGTCTCAGGTATTTTGTTATAGCAGCACAAACAGACTAACACTTTGTTTGCATTTTACCACCTATGCATGCATCCTAAACTACAGTTTTGCTAGTTTTTTGAATTAGCAAAGAGCCCTATAATACTCATTCCTTAGTGTCTGGCTTCTTTTGCTCAACCTTGGTCAGGAACAACTCTGTGTATAGCTGCAGTTCATTCACTTCATTGCTGTGTAATATTCTATTCTATGAATATTCCCCAATTTATTTATTCTTTCTACTACTGGTAGCCACCCCTATTGAACTATGATAAAGCTGCTATGTACATGTCTCTTGGTGTGTATGTGCATGCATTCCTGTTCAGTATATAACTAGAAGTGGAGATGCTGGGCCATATAAGCGTTCAACTTTAGTAAATGTCAAACTTTTTCAAATTGGCCTTGCAATTTTCACCAGCAGAGTGTCAGCAGCATCTCACCTCACCAAGAAGATATGGTATGGCCTAATGGCCAGTCTTTCTAATGTTAGTCATTCTGGTGAGTATCTGGCGGGACTGTGGTTTTAATTTGCATTTCTTGATTGCTAATGAGATTAACTGTTTTTCTTTTTCTTTTCTTTTTTGAGTTGGAGTCTCACTCTGTAGCCCAGGCTGGAGTGCAGTGGCACGTTCACAGCCACCCCAGCGTCGACCTGCTGGGTTCTGGAAATCCTTCCACCTCAGCCCTCCAAATAGCCAATCCACCTGCCTTGGCCTCCCAAAGTGCTGGGATTACAGGCTGAGCCACCAAGCCCGGCCACATTAAGTACTTTTCTATACATTTGCTGTTGATTCAAATATCTTCTTTTGTGAAGTACATTACCAAATCTCCTATTTTTGTGCTGGGCTGGTTATTATCATTGTTTAAAAAAAAATTTTTTTTTTTTTTGAGTTAGAGTCTCACTCTGTTGTCCAGGCTGGAGTGCACTGGCACGCTCACAGCCACCCCAGCAGCAACATGCTGGGCTCCCACAATCCTTCCCCCTTGCCTTCCAAGTAGCTGGAACTACAGGCACACACTACCATGCCCGGCTAATTTTTTTTTGTTTATTATAGAGAAGAGGTCTCGCCAAGTTGTCTGGGCAGGTCTCGAACCCACAGGCTCGGGCAATCCACTTGCCTTGGCCTCCCAAAGTGCTGGGATTATAGGCGGAGCCACCAAGCCTGACCATTAAAAAATTTTTTATTATTATTATTTTTGAGTTGGAGTCTCACTCTGTCACTCAGGCTGGAGTGCAGCGGCATGCTCACGGCCACCACAGCCTCGACCTGCTGGGCTCAGGTGATTCTGCCACCTCAGCCTTCCAAGTAACTGGAACTGTAAGTGTACTCCACCACACCTGGCTAATTTTTAAATTTATTTTAGAGACAAGGTCTCGCCAAGTTGCCCAGGCTGGTCTCAAACCTCTAGGCTCAGACAAACCTCTCACCTCCACCTCACAAACTGCTGGGACTTATAGGCAGAAGCCACAGTGCCTTGTTTGATTATCTTCTTTATTGATTTGTGTAGTTTTTCACATACTCTAAAATCTAGCCCTTCAGTGGTTATATATGCTGCAGACATCTTCTATTCAGTAGTTTGTTTTTCATTTTCAATAGGTCTTCTGAAAAAAAAAAGTCCTTAATTTTAATGTAGTCTAATTATCCAGCTCTTCCTGCATGGTTAGTCTTTACTGTGTCTCATTTCAGAAACTCTTCCTTACTCCAGGGATTCTCCCCTGTTACCTTTTGGAAGTCTTTCACATTTAGATCCATGAATCATCTGGAACTGAGTTTTAGAAAACTTTTTACAATGAAAACTTTCAAACATATACAAAAGTAGAGAGAAAAACACAATAAACTTAGCTTCAACAATAATCAACATTTTGCCAGTTGTTAAAAAGTCATTTATTATGAGATGTGACAATTATTTACATGATGAAAGCTTTCAGAGCTGCAGTGGCACGGGCTGCTTCAGATGATACCACTCCATCATGATTTATTTTCGTCCACATGCTTTCCAAGAGTGGTACCACCCTGGAATCAGGAATGATCCCTGTCACCTAGAACTACGTTGGTGCCTCCACATTTTGGGAGAACTTCATCTCCAACTTTCATGCTAACTGGCTAGATCTCTCCAGCTGTATGTTCAGAGCCTGATCCAACAGCTACTATTGCTGCCTGCAATACTTTTCTGGAAGTGTCACACCTCTCTTCGGCTACAGTTTCAACTGCATTCCTTTCAACCAATGTTTACAGGGCATAAGAAACTTTCCAAATGTCTGTCCTGTCAAAACCACATACAAGACCTGCAGCTGTCATGTGACTGTGGGAACAATCACCCCACACGCTTCCCCACTGCCCACGAGTTGCCAGTTTTGTTTTATAGCTACTCTCCAACATTCTTTATGTTCCTTTTATATTTTAATTGCTTTATATTTGGGGTCTTGCTCTGTCACCCAGGTTAGAGTGCAGTGGCATGACCATGGCTCACCACAGCCTTGACCTCCTGGGTTCCAATGATCCTTCTGTCTCAGCCTCCTGAGTGGCTAGGACTGCAAGCACACACCACCATGCCTGGCTAATCAATCTCTCTCTCTCATTCTTTCTTTCTTTCTCTCTCTTTCATTACAAGCAGGGTCTCACTTTGTTGCTCAGGCTGGTCTTAAACTACTGGGTTCATCGTGCCTCAGTCTCCCAGAGTGCTAGGATTACAGGTGTGAGCCGCAGTGCCCAGCCTACTCTCCAACACTCTCTCCCTCCCTCCCTTTCTCCCTCCCACCCTTTCCCCTTCCCTCCCCTCCCATTTCCTTCCCATACCTCATTATGTATCTTTAACAGATAATGTTTTTCTTTTTTTGAACTGGAGTCTCATGCTCACGACCACCCCAGCGTTGACCTACCGGGCTCCAGTGATCCTTCCGCCTCAGTCTTCCAAGTAGCCGGAAGTACAGGCATGCACTACCACACCGGGCTAATTTTTTAAAAAAATTTATTGTAGAGACGAGGTCTCGGATAATGGCATTTTTTAAAACCATAAGCATAATACTACTATCAACCTTAACAAAATAGCATCAGAGGTTGTGAGACAACGACCACATCTCATGATCCCCAGTGGTGCACTGTTTATTGAAAAGACTCTTTCCCAACTGTACTTGGTGCCATCTTTGTCATAAGTCAAGTGTTCACTCTATTCAGTTCTACAGGTCTATTTGACTAGCCTTATGCCAATATTGTGCTTTTTAAACTATTTTAGCTTCACAATGAATTCTGGTATCCTATTACGTCCTCCTCCTCCTTCATTCTTTTCCAAGGACATGTTGACTATTCTAATTAAGCATTTTTATTTTCTACATAAGACACCTTTATTGTTTCAATCCATGAGACAAGCTGCTGGAAAATTTTATTTAGGTCTCCTTTTACTTTTCTCAACAATGTTTCATAGTTTTCTGTGAAGATCTTTCTTGCATTTATTCCTAGATATTCGATACTTTTGAGGCTATGATGTATAATAGTTTTGTTTTTAAACATTCAACTTCTGTTTTTATTAATCAATATGCAATGTCTTATACTGGCTACCTCACTAGCCACTAATTTCTAGTAATTTCTCTGTTGAGTCTTTGGGATTTTCCGAGTCCACCATTGATTTATATGAGTGACTACTGACCACAGAATCAAAGTTTTTATCGAGTTCCATACTGTCATTTAGGATGTGAAGACATTTTGGTCCAAAGACATCAAATGCCTTCACCAAGATCACAGGTAGTTAGAAGCAGAGCTAAGGCCAGAACTCAAGTGCCCTGACTCCCAAGTTCTTTTTTTTTTTTTTTGCTTGCACCACTTTTATGGCAAGTTGATCAATCTTTGGAGGTGGCAGTCATTTAAAACAAAACAAAACAACTGATATGTATGATGTATTATTCTTAAACCCCACTATGCCTAAAACATGACCCTCAGAAATGCTTTCTAAGTCAAATCCTTGGCAAGTCAATCAAACAAGCCCTTGTTAAAGTCTTATGGGAACTAGGAAGGTACTAAACTTGGAGGGGCTCCGTGTAGTTTTCGTAACTACAAAGTAACAAAACATTTACGGAACTCAAAGAACTTAGCTTCTCTACTATATAGCTATATGACATACAACCTGTGACAGAATATCACATCTCACCAGAAATAGGGTTTGCTAGGGCAGCATGCAAGGCTAGACCTGTGATATGTACAAATTCACAAAGAAATGCTGAACCATCCCAGTGTTTTCTAATTCCCTTTCTGGTGACACACAAATGGGCCTGTCAATTTTAGAAACAGACAATCATTGAAAATATAGCCCAAATACTTATAGTATGCTGTATACACACGTTTTTAAACGTACGCAGATAGAGCCTAGCATTTAAGACTTACTGTAAATGTGTTCACATCAACAAGGGAAAAGTACTACAAATAAGTTTAGCAAGTGAAGCTGTCTGAAAATTCTAACAGGGTATATGATATTCTAGTATTAAAGACAAAAATAACTTTATGACATCTTTCTAAGGACTATAATATATTTAGCATCTCCTGCTGCTTCTGAGCTAACTTGTGCTTTTATTCTTCAGCATGTTTTCTAAAATATGCAATATTTGTTATAAGAAAAATTATGAAGAAAGCATCTTTAAAGGATAAAATAATACAATAAAGAGTACAGTAAACATGTATTGAGAAAGAAAACTATTTCCAAAGCAGACGATTATGAGATGTCAGGCAGTCAATTTTTAAAAATTTTAATAAAGAACAGATGACCACTGACAGAATGATGGCCCAGCGGGGTGGGCAGAGAGAGATCAGAATTTACTTTGGCCTCACAACTGCAGGGATGGAAAAACGGCCTGGTTCTGAGAAGAATAGCTCACCTCTGACTCTGCATTTCCTTTCATGGTGCTATGACATTTCAAGTCAAAGGTGACCAGAAGAAACCATGCAGTCGCCTCCCACTGATAATACCCTTCATAGTTTGGGGTTTATTCTATTCTTAAAAGCATCTAGGAAAAAACTGCTCCCTTCACCTGCCCCTGCCTGTCCTGAGCCACAACCCCAGTGCAGGGAAGTCCTCCTGGCAGGCAACTCTTCACACATCGTGCCAAATTCCCTGTGGATGGGATTTAAGTTTCTGCCCCCTCACTATCACTAGAGGAAGTAAGAAATAACTAACCAACGTCATTTTAACTCCTTTCAGATAAATTTGATGTAAAGGTGACAACTCTTAATGCCCTCTAAGACCTTATTAATAAAATGTCCTACCTTCTCATCTCGGAAGTTCAGGAACTGCTGGAAAAGCTCGCTTTCTGAGATGACGGGATGACGACACATCCTGGTCATCCAGGCCTGGAGTCTCTCCATGCGCATTTTGATGAATTCTTCTTCAAAGCGACCTGCAGGAGACACACCAAGAGTGCCACACAACTCACTTCGACATGAGTTACATTACTGTAACTAAAAGTCACTTCTATGGCTACAGGCTACTTGGTAGAAAGCTACTTAGTAAAAGGTAAACTGGTGATTTTTTACTAACCTAAAAACATGCAACACAGTGAATACTTAAAGACCTACAGGTAAGACACATTAATGAATCTTTTAATTGTGACAAGAGTAATCATAGCCTCAAAGTGCTATTTTCTTCAAGGATCCCTATAGTACCAAAAAAATTTAAAGTAAATCTTACCTCAACTTGGAAAATTATCTCTTTCTTACAACCTAACATCAGGCCAGTTTCCATGAGGCCACATGAAGCCCTAAAGTAACAGTCCCCAACCTTTTTGGCACCAGGGACTGGTTTCATGGAAGACAATTTTCCCATGGACCAGGAAAGACCAGGGAGTGTGGGGTAGGGGTGGATCATCAGGCATTACATTCTCATAAGGAGTGTACAGCCTAGATTCCTTACATGCGCAGTTCACAATAGGGTTTGTGCTCCTATAAGAATCAAATGCTACTGTTGATCTGACAGGAGGCAGAGCTTTGCTCACCTCCTGCTGTGAGGCCTGGATCTTAAAGGCCATGGACTGGTACTGGTCCGCAGCCCAGGGATTGGGGACCCCTGCCCTAAAGGCAAGAAAGCAGGGATAAGTGGAATGTAATGCCATTCTTAAAAACTACATAACATTTCTACATTTATAAAAGTGTGTCCAAATGCAATATAATCTACAAATATAAAAGTTTAAATTTAGCACTTATGAGAAGTAACTCAGGCCTAGAGCTGTTTTCTCCATTTTGTTTTTTAAATTACTTAAAATGAAATAGCAATGATTTTTCCATGAATGCAATAATGAAAGCTGCTATTCTAGAACTTATGATCATACTAAAATGGAGTTTATGAGTGATTATTTCTATTTAAAACTAGAAAGTCAGTTTGACAAGCATGGCATACCAAACATCAAGTGAACCACACTGAGAATTTTTATAAGCCTACTAAACAAAAATTAATGTTGGTTGAAAGGCTTCTGGGAGGTAGAAATTCCAGCTGTGTCCAAGTGAGATCAGATAGCCCTATGTCTCAAAGCAACAATAAAGCTGGACAACACTGACAAACAACCAAGTCAGTGCTCTGGAAATCAACCAAAGGCAAACAGCCATATGAGAAGTGCTTATGCCTGAAAAACGGAACTTCAGGCAAGAGAAGAGGAAATCTGCAACATTCTGGGGCTGCTCTCCTCTCCACCTGCTGCCTGGGTACCTCCCACCCACTTAGTTGGCACAGAACTACTGCCAGGGCAGAAAGCACACTGTGAAGACTGGCAGCCATAGCTTTCCTGCCAGAGCATATGTAGGCTCACTTGATTGGAGTGGTGGGGGATGCCCATGTTCAGGGGTGGTGTGGTGGCAGGGACAATCTCGGAGATGAGTGAACGGGAAGGCTGACAGTCCCGCCAGCCAGGGCTGCATGGCTGAGCCTCGCATGCTCCAGGCAGCGGCTGTGTGCACAAACAGGGGAGTCCAGATGGGGTTCAAACCAGACAAACACTCTTGGCCAACTCTGAAGCTGTATACACAAGTCAAGGAGACACAAAAAGGTCCGGTTGAAAGTGAAGGCCACAGGACTTGAAAATGTCCTGAGCTTTGAATGCTTTCCCTCTACCTACACACACACTTACATCAACAGAGGACAGAAGCCTTACTGGCTTGAATGACTGAATGCAACTTCTGTCCTGTCAATCACAGGCTTACTATCTGTCCACAGGCACAAGAGTAAATGTAGGAAGGCAAACACAAAAAATGCACGAACCTAACAATAACTAAGCTGCTGAGGAGACAAGTTACAGAGAGCCTAAGCAAATAACAGACAAAAAGCAGAAACAACCTTTACGGAGGTACACTCGGAATTCAGAGTTGTTAAAACATTCTCAAAAATGTCCAGTTTTCAACAAAAAATTAAGAGATATGCAAAGAAACAGCAAGATATGACCCATATTGAGAAGAAGCAGCAGTCAAAAGACACTATCTCTAAGTATCCTCAGTTGTTGAATTCAGGAGAAAAAAACAAAGCAGCAAAGAAGATTCTATAAACATGTTCAAAGAACTAAAGAAAGGCATGCTTAAAAGTTAAAGAAAAACATGACAGGGAATCAATATATATACATTCTCAAGGAGATAAAAATTATAAAAAAAGGAATCAAATAAAAATTCTGGAGTTGACAGTACAGTAACTAAAATTTAAAATTCCCTGTAGCGGCCCAACAGAAAACTCAAGATAGCAGAAGAAAAAAAAAAATCAGTGAATTTCAACATAGATCAACAGAAGTTAACAAAA